CCTCCTCCTCCTCCTCCTCCTCCTTCTTTTTCTTCTCCTCCTCCTCTTCTTCTCCTTCTTCCTCTCCCTCTTCTTCTTCCTCTTCCAGTAAGCCAGCATGCCGGCGTCATTACAAACCACCTGGGGAACAACACGTCCTCACCAGCCTCCGAATCAGACCACCATGCACTTTTAGACGAGAAAGAAGACTCCTATTTCTCTGAAATCAGAAACTTTATTGCAAATAGCGAGATGAACCAATCGACGGCTTTAGCAGAGAAAAGGTAGGTGAGATCACCAATAAGGGTCTCATTTTCGGTTCCCCTCATCACCTCAATTGGCAAACTTTCACGTTCAAAGTTTGCACTCAAATGTGTGTGGATTTGAGGCTTTCTCTAAACATTCCAGCTGCAATTTTTCCTCACGCACAGTCTCATGGCTAAAATTGACACGTGTGCACCCAGCCACCCACCCACGCCCAGGCACACATGACCCGTTTGTCTTAGTTTGATTAGACTGGGTGACAAGATGCTCAGACTCACAGGAACACATGTATTTCCCTGCTCTTAATTTTTTCAACCTCTGATTGCTGGGGGAGACATTTAATCTGCCAAGGCACCCCCCCTAAAAACATAGTCCATTTAGGTTTTGCACATATCCAGCTTCTCATTGTGCCACACCAAAAACAATTAATTATCCTCCTGCTAAAGTTTCCAAAGGCTGTGGCATTGCCCCGCCACCCCCACCCCCATTTATTTATTTATTTTCCCATGGAGAATTCCTCCCCGATTCCATGCCAGATTCCAAAGTCTGGCTATAACTGAGTCCTAGCTCTTAAGGAGTTGGCATTCACTTTCTGTCTGGAAAACATAGCCAAGCTCTCAGCTGACTTAACTAGGGCAAGCTGTCAATGCTTGAGCGTTAACAATTTCAACATAGCAAAGAGAGCGATGTCACTCCAGTTCAGAATTCCCTAACTTGGGCTGGAAATGCCTGCTGCTGGTGGGTGTTTTCCTTATATTCTTCTCTGGCCCAGAATACAGATTTCTGGGAATCTTCAGGTTGACAAGGAATCCTGGGAAAATCCACTTACCAGGGCGTCAGAAGACGCAACAAAAATGTTGGGCATCACAGATACAATATTTTTGGAGGGACATACAAAGCTGGTGCTCGCCTATTAAAAAAACACAACGGCGTGTAGTTTTCCAGAGTAGATGCAGAGAGAAGAGAGAACAGGAACAGGAGGAAGAACCACTATCAAGACAATAGTCAGATAAAAGAGGACTGAGAGTCTGGGGCAGGAATGTAATCTGAGAAAATGTCTCAGACGAGACGCTCCCTGGTTCTCACAAAAGTAAAGGAAGGGAGGGTGGAAGCACATTCAGACTTGCAAGCTTTGGCTACTAAAGCTTTACTTTTACTGTAAAGCTGTAGTACCGAAAGCTTCCAAGTTACAATAAAAGCTTTACAATAAAAGCAGTACTGACCTATATAACATTGGGTTCCTAGTCTGATCTACCTTGGAGGGCTTACAGTATAAAACACTCCTCCTTGTGTATTCAGCACCCTGAAAATACATTTCCCAAAACACTCATTGCCTGTTTTAGAGTTCTAGGAAGAAAAGGCTTCTTCTCAAGAGTTGAGAAGCCCTGCAACGCCATGGATCAGTGCAATTCAATGGCTCAGTTCCCACAGCAAGTTTTCACCTGAAGCCTGGATTAGCAAAATGCTGTTGCTTTGTCCACATAACAAGCTGTGCCCCAATAAAAAAAACCATGGTATGTTCTTAACATGATGCCCTGATTCACCCAACCCCATGTTAAGACAATGGATTCCCACTATATGTACTCTACAACCCTGGTTTAACACGATACATATGCCCAACTCAATGTTGATCCTTCCTTCTAAGAAAACAGTGAATGGTGGGCCCATGTGTTTGAGAGGATGTGTTAGAGAGAGGAATTTAGGAATTGTCATGCAACCTCAGTCTTCAACCATTGGTTGAAATTATGAGTCCCATCAAGAAGGAGACAGTGTAATCCAGAAGAAGTAGGAGTAGGGACATTAGATCATTTCACAGTGATTTTTGTTTTCTAAGAACATAACAAAACCCACAGAGCTTTCCTGGGACTAACCAAAAGCCTATTCTATTCTCCCACCATGGTCAGCTAGATGTTTCTGAAGGACAGCATAAACGTCTCTGCAGCTTTCTTTCTCTTCTTGAGGTGATATGGAGCCATTATAACTACTAGAAATGTTCATTCTCGCCTCTTCCTAATTCTCTTCCAAAGACAAATTCTCCTGTCTCTTTCAACGTGAGGAAAGTCCACTTTCAAAATTTCTTTCCAAACAGATTTCTGTTCGATCCCCAGGGAATGTTTCCATTGGATCTTCTTCAGATCAGGCAGGAAAGGCAACTACATTCAGAGCAAGAAACGGTTGCCTTCCAAAGAGAATCTAGATTTCTAGACCTCATCCTGTCTTCTAACCTTTGCGGTCTCCCCCAACCAGGCCTGAAATCCAGAACGCCGACGGCAGCGCCCAAGGCCACAGTCTTTCGAATGACAAAGTCGAAGACGTCGATGAGGAAGAGGACGAACTGGAAGAGGAAGACGATGATAGTCTCACGGGGAAGTCTCAAGACGGGACGGTGTCGCCAACCGCTGAGCCACAAGGAGGGTATGAGGATGAGGACGAAGAAGAGGCCGCGTCCCTTACCATGAGCTTTAACCGCACCCAGAGGTGGGTTTCAACTATCTTTGTGGGAGGAGGGGACACCTGCTTTTCTCTTCCCTCATTCCATGCCCCAGGGAACCATGAGTGAGTCATTTGGGGCTGGCTATAGCGTCAACCCTAGACATGCCATTCCCTTCATGAGGAACAGGCGTGCCAACGTTTCTTTGGCTGCTGGTCAACTACAAGACATTTCCATGGCCTGCAGGCTCAAGCTGGTGTATGCAGTTCATCCAAGACATCCAGCAGTCCTGGGAAACACATTACCCATGGTCCCCAGATACCCTAGGCATGTCTTGGGTGCTGGGAGATTTCCAACCATCACTGGATTCCAAATCATGTCATCCGGCACCCAACGGGGACGAAACCCTGACACGAGATGGGGTCACCCCTAGTTCCCTGACCTTGCTTCTGCCCTGAACGTGTGCCACTTCTGGAGACAGTCTCCTCATTCTGCACGTTAGATCCTTCTTAAATCCAGGGATAACTAAATAATCGTTCCACCTCTTGTCTGTTCCGGGAGACGCTCTGGCTAATAAAGAGCACAGAAGACCTTCCTAGTTAGGCTAATAAAGAGCATATGAAGGCTTTTTTTATTTCAAGGGTCAAGCCAAGATGGGCTTCTACATTCCCACAGTGATGTTCTAAAGTATTTGCCCCAAGTGGGCCTGCCCAAGGTATCACCTACATTATGTCTCAGCTTTACGTCCCTGGTCTGTACCAGGAAGTGAGATGTAGATTTTTTTCCTCTCGCCTTCGCTGACTTTGCCCTCAATTGCCCACAATTGCCATTTGCTTCCACTTTCTCGAGTGGCCAAGGCATTTCCCTTACGAGCACTTGAATTTTCATTTCATGGAGGGCCAAACCTCGAAGCGCATGCCTGCCCACGGTTTGAGAAGAGCCACCTGGGCAACCCGGGGCAGGAAACGGGGAATGCGAAGAAGCAGCAGGATGAAAAAAGGGGGGAAGTGGAAATGACGTGCCCTGTAAAGTTCTTCCTTCGGTACATAAAATATTTTCACGCAAAGGGGTGGGCGAGGCAGATGCAAACCGTTCGAGCCAGAGTGCCCGATCTGGGGATGTCCGCAGCGGCAACCCCCTTGTGTAATCCAGGCGCCCGTACCCGCCCCATGCTTTGTGATATTGTGTTCAGTGGCCATGTCCGTCCGCCAGTCCGTCCGCCTGCCTGTCTGTCTGTGTCGCTCACCCTCCCGTTCATCTCGCATGCGGCTCCGAGGAGCTCCCCCCTTGGCATTTGCATCCCCGACTGTCTGCAGCCAGATGGACTAACAGGTCACCCTGCTTTCCCCCTCCTGGTCCTTGGTACAGGTGTATTGAGGAGAACGAAGCCGGCTTGTTAGATTTGGAACAGATGTCGCAGTTTGGGAAGGGGCTGGACCTTCGCAAGGCCTCCGAGGAAGCTTTTGAAGTTAAAGATGTGTATAATTCCACCTTAGACTCGGAGGCACTAAAACAAACTCTGTTCAGGCAGGCTAAAAATCAGGTAGGTAGATCCTGGGACTTTACCCTGAGTTTTGGAGCAAGGCTCGCCCGTTTTCCTTTTGGTCCACCAAGCACTGAGATTCTGGAGCCCCCACTTGGCTTCCATCCTTGGAAGCAGTTCCAATTTTCATCAAGATTAAGGAGATGCTATGGTCCGTCCCCCCCCCCACACCCCTTCTCATGCCAGAGGATGTGGTCTAGCTTGAGGCCGAACTACCTGAGCAAGGTGCATTTCCTGCCCCGCCTCTCCAAAGTCTCCTGGGGATTGAACCTGGCTTATGGGTTCTAAGAGGCATCTGTTTTTCGACTTCAATCTTGCGGCGCTTGAGAATTTCTTTCGAATTTCTTTCGGGGGTGTTTTCAAGGAGACTTTACTGTTGCGAAATGCCCTGGCTGGTTCCGTCTCTCCAAAATCTCGTGCACTACTCCCGCTTCCCAGTCTGTGGAAGCGTTGAGATGTCTTCCCTCGGGGGTTGCATGGAAGGGTGGGAAGTCAGGGAGGCTGTGCAGCAAAGGACGGGTCACCACTAAGCGCAGGTGCCTTCTAGGGGTGAGAATTTCTCCCAAATACTCTTCTCCTTGAAAGAACTTTTGGCAATCAAATTCTTTCAGTGGAGTCAAGTGGTAGGGGGACAAATGCCGAACAAAATTTCAGCAGGATGCCCAACCCTTCTTCAGGAACTGGCATCCCTGTTAAGCCAGTTCCGAGTCAATAGAATAGCCCTTGACGAGCGATGGCAACTTCACAGAAGTCTTCTGTTGCCTTGGGGGGAGCGGGGCAGACACCATTTTTATCTCCTTTTCTGTTTAGAAAGAGAGGTCATTTTCTGTTCCCATGCATGTCTCTTGTCTTTCACATTATTTAAAACTAATATATACTAACTCTTTATCAATGTTCTGCTATCTGTGCCTCGTTTTGCAATCTTGGGCTTGCATTTGAGAAAGAGAATGGGATTCCAAAATGCATATTCCCCCTCTGCCACCAGATGACTATTCTCTTTGAGGACATAACACTCCAAAGGGAGACCACTTTTCCTTTTCCTTCTAAATTTTGTCTTTTGTATCTCAGGACTCTGTTATTTGTTTGGAAACTTATATCTTTCGGTTCTCCCGCAAGGAAACCGCCAATCAGCTTTCCCTGTTCTGTAATCAATACTTGGTTCTTTAGAAGGGACCTTTATCATTTCATAGATAAATAAAATAAAATAATTTAAATTAAATTAAAAAATTAAAATAAAATAAAATAAAATAAAATCTGCTTTAAACCAGATCTGTTCCAATTGCTGTAGCAACCAGTTCCAGATCTTTGAAACGTTTTAGAGAAATTGCACACCAGATTCCTTGGTGGTCAACTTCTGTTTAACAACTATCAGGTTAGAAGGGGGCCCCTGAGTCCCTGTACCCAAAATTGTAGTTTAATGGAGATGTTCAAATTAAGCCAGTTTTCTCCATCTTCAACCAGAGTTCAAGCATGTTTGCACTCTGCAACGCCCACAATTCCCTGCCTCTGAGGCTGATGGGAGCTGAAACCCCCAACAGCTGGAAGGTCCCCCCCCAACCCCGAAATCCTCTGTGATTCCGGTGCACACAGTCCACTTGAGGCAGATGAGAAATCTTGGAAATCCCGGCCCCGGATTCTGAAACAAAGATCGGATTCTCTCCTGTTGACAACCTCTTTCACGTGCTGTGTTTTCTTCTGTCGCTTCATAGGCTTATGCAATGATGTTGACCCTTACCGAGAACACTCCCTTCCATCCTTCCTCCCAGAACCCTCTGGATGCTTGGTTGAACATGGCTGGAGCCACTTCCGAGCCAGGAACCTTCAACTCCATCGGCCACCTCTGAGAAGTTCGAGGAGGCGCCCTGCCAGGATCCCAGCGAGGAGGCCAAGGTGCCACCCGTTGGCCTCTCAGCCCTTCCGACAAGTGGAAGATTGGCAGAACGACCCTCGGGACACGGCCACTGGCAGGAGAAACCCACCATGGACAGCTCATTTCTCGATTGGTCAACCCCCACCTAGCAGCCCCAGGACCTCACCGTTGTGTAGCGCATAGTGGGAGCGCATTGGCTTCCGGTGTGGGAAATTCCAGGTGCATTTGTGGGGGACAATCCCCGTACTAACCCTCTCCATGTTACAGACCATGTTGCTGAGCCATCAAAGATGCACTTGTACACAGACCCCAACCCTTCTCCCCTCGAAGCCCGTAGGCCCACCTGTCCAGGACTGCTACGAAGACGGTGACCTTCTAGACCAAGATGTTCGAATGAAGTCACTGGAGGCCCCCGCGATGAGGACAATGTTGACTTTCTCTGCCCTATGTTGTTCTCCTCACTTTAGGTCCATGTGCATTCATCGTGCCCACCCCGCTTCCTCCAGGGTCTTCCTTTGAACAATGAATTCTACATTTCCTGCGTCCGATGGACACCTTCCCAATCTTCAAGTCCACGTTCTTCTTTCACGCCCTGTAACTCTTATTCCGTGTCTCCCTGGCCTTCAACAGGCCAACTCCCCTCGCTGCTTCCCTTAGGCCCAGCAGCAGTGTTTTCTGAATTGAGGAACCCCAAAGACGGGGGTAGAAAGGTTATTTTGGGGGGCCACTACCCCCCCCCCACGTTGTCCTCCAGGTGGGAAATGGCTTGTAGATTGGAGGCAAAGAAAGAATTCGTGTTGCTCCATTCCATTCTCTCCGATTGATCCCGTTTAAGAGAAGGCAGACTTGGTTTGGGGGGGGGGGGGAGAAACTCATCAGATGCCGTGCCAAACATTTCTCAAAATGTTCCCCCCACCCCGAAAAAAAGGCTTTGGTTTTCCCCCCTTATTATCCGAGGGCTTAAGAACTCCTTTTGAATTTCTCCAGGAGACGATCTGGATCAGGGTGCTGGTGCTGGTCCTAAATTTTCTTCCCTGTTTTCCCATCCCTGGCTGTTCATTCTTCTCCCCCCGCCCCCCTTGAAGAAAGTTCCAGGGGGGATTAACCCTGAGAATTTCAGCCAAAATAATCAGCAAATGTTCTGCAAAAATTCTCTTCTTCTCTGAAAAAAAAAAGAGACCAAATTGTCTTTCATCCCACTTAATAGGAACTAGTAGAGAAACATACACGGTCGTTTTTCTGCCATTAATAAACGGTGGTTCATTCGAACTGTGCACTCTTTTTTTCCTTCCTTCCTACCCATTTGGTCTTCTTTCTGTCAGAGCCAGGAAGATTCAAATACATTTCAAATTTTGCTTGGGTAGATTTACGGGAGCCAGGGGCCTCTCTCGTCCCGGGCTGCGAGTGTAGCGTTGCACTTGTGAGTGTAAGGCCTTAGTTTGGATATCAGAGCAGCTCACAGCCCAGGGAGCCAGAAAACTTAATTTCATCAGGTATGCACTTTTTCCCTCTATTGAAAAGGCAACCTTTCCTGTTAATTCCAGATGTAAGGACAGATGTGCGCAGATGATTTCAACAACGGGAGCATTTTCATTTTGGTTTACATTTTCGGCTGTTCTTTAGTTTTTTCCCCTTGGGGTTTCCAGATGTCCAGCTCTTCACATCTGTCCTCCCATCATCCCGCCATGCCAGTATTTTCAAAGCCTTTCTAGACCAAGATCCATGAGCTTGAATTTGACAGACTAATCTTGGTTTCGCTGGGCTCGATCCAGCCAAAATTAAGAGGATGCGATTGAAAGAGTGGTTCTGAAACTGCTGCTGAGCCCCCCCCCAAAAAAAATTATAAATAAATGTCTGTGAATTCCCATCCCATGAATTAAATAAACTAGTGGTTTCGTTGGTGTTAGGGTTGGGCAAGAAATAAACATGCCACTTTTCATCATTGTGTTTTAATCTATATCGCGCAGAGATTTTCAAACCGTGCAGGTCGACGAGGAGGGAAAGTTGGCGTGAGGTTCACACGAACTCTCAAAATTCGCTTCTGTTTCGCCTGGCAAGACTGATTTTTTTTTTTTTTTTTAAATATGGCCTTCTAAGTCGCTAACCCGGAGTTTGAAAATTTGAAGGAAAGATGTGGTAATCCTGGATGAGATGGGATCACCAAAGTCTTGATTTCTCTGTGGCTGCATTTCAGGCAGGAACTGGATGTGATGAAGTGAGTGTGTGAATCTGAGGACCTGGGTCAAACTTGGATCATTCCAATGTAGGTGTACTTTGGCCCAGGGACTGGCCTCCCCCATCATGCCAAGCCATCAGGTCTGCTTCGGGCTTAGCACGCGTGAACCCAACCAGGCTGCGAAACCTGCAAAATGGCCAGGACGGCCTTGTGGTTGAAGCTCCGCCCCAAAGGGGTGGAGCTTCCATTGCACTCGCCATATTGCCCATTTTGACCCCTCTGCAACTATCTCGTTCAACAAACCTTAACCTTACTGCGATATGTCACCCCAGTGACATGGGCTCCCAACCAATTTTCCAATAACAGATACACATTCTCCATCAAACCAAGGTTTAGCCTAAACAGCGAATCATAGTTTTTGCCTTCTCTGTGAGATACTGTACTGAAACCTTTGTACTGTCTTTTAGTCTGTTTCTTTATACAAAATGGTGTGTGTGTGTCTGTGTGTGTCTGTGGGTATCATCTTGTTGCCTGTGGCTTGATCCTGTCAAAAAAAGCTGTTTCCCACACCAGGCCTGTTTCTCAAGAGTGTCAGTCTGTACAACAAACTCGGTTTATTCCAGGTTCACAATCTTGGCTTCCCCCAGTGGATCTTGGGAACTTTCATTTGGCCACAGGTTATGAATTTTCTCTGAAAAATAGTTAGCCTTTTTTGGATGAACTACCTTGCCCTGAGAAAGAGGAAAGACCGATCAAGTGGTTTAAGGATGAAATGGAGACACACCCCGAAATTAAAATTTGCAGGGCTCCTCGCACCGAGACAAAAAATTCTGTCGTCTTGTGGAATGACAATAATAATGCATTAGAGGCAAAGCTATATTGAAAATCAATGCTTCTATATCCCCCCACAATTCCTGAAATCTAACCGCATTTTTTTCCTGATAATGGACTGCAGAAAGAGACCAGGGAGATTTAAAAAAATAAAAAATGGCAAATGAGGTTGACTTTGGCAAGGGGGCTTCAGAAATCTTCCTGCTGTCTTCAGCCTTAAATTAATCCCAGCCCTCTTCAAGCAATTCATCTCTTTTTTCGAGGCATACTTGGAGCTTGGAGTTCTGGATTTCACCTTCCCACCAGTATCGCCAATGGCCAGAAATTATGGGACCTGTTGGCACCTAAAGACATGGAAGGTTTGGGAAGATCTTTGGCCCATCCCGACAGCTACTTTAGATCCAATCATAACCATGTTGATTGGCAGGAGGTCTCCAAAATCATCTACCACACCTTTCCCAACATCTGCCTGCAAAATTTGCCCACCTTGCATTCACCAGCCAGAAGAACCAGTGAAAATCTAGCCACCACCTTCTCATGCTGGTAGAGTAGCATTGACATCCCTCAGAAATGTAGGGTTATACCAGGGTTTGCTTGGTTCAGACTGTGCCCCAAGAGACCTTGAGGGCTAAAACATGGCTAGATATACCCAAGGAAGGAACGACTTCATATTTTGTCCCTACATTTCAGAAGAGCCCAGAGAAAACATGGCTGCCTCTCCATTTGGCCAAGGAAGTTGAAAGCCCTTGGAGATGCCTCCTCTCAGCTCATATTTGAACTCCATCTGGGTGGAAAGATGGGCTGCCAAGTTAGGAATGCTAACAATAAGAGACAGGTGTCACTTCTCCCCAGGCACATGATTTTGCATCATTTGAGGATTTAGACAAACAGGAAGTTTGAGCATTAAGGGGGATTAGCATCTTCCCGGCTAATTTCAGAGCAGATGCTTAGATAATTCAGACTTCTCGTTCAACAAAGCAACAGTAATTTTGCAGTGTCCTGGTCCCAATTTTCTATGTTTCCACCCCCAACCCCAGTTGTACATCTCAGCATTTACCGAGAAGATGAGCAGTGCTGCTAGGAAAATAGGGAACTGATTCCAAACCTGTGAAATTGTGACTTATTCTCATTTCTTGAGACGCTTCCAGATACTGTGAGTCAGGACATGCTAACCTGCGTTGCATATTCTTACAGGGGCCAACGTTGCAGCGGGGTTTTAATAATTATGATTACCGGGGTATTTTGTGAGGCGATAGATTTTTTTCCCCCTCCTTTTAATCTGTATATAACTTGTAATTTTTAAAAAAGAAAAGAAACCCACCTTTTCTTATTTTATTTCTTCCTTGACAGTATTTTATTATATAAATATATAAATATATATATATATATATATATATTTGCGTTAGATATCATTATTGTGCAGAAATAATTTTAATATAAGGAATGAAAAGAGGACCAGAGTGATTTCTTTAAGGCTCTTTTTTTTATAGAAGAATGGGTTCTCCACTCCTTGTGCTCAGCTGGGTCTACCCAGTTCACAGTTTTGTTGAATTTTGTTGTTTCAAAATAAGAATTCAGTGGCATTTGCTTTTAGAAATGAGTGCACTATTTGGGGGGCTGTGTGGGCCAAATTAGGTAGGGAGGCCGCAGTAGAAAGGGCCGTTCGAAGGCACAAATCCCCGTCGGTCACCTCATTCCATGTTGGAATCAGGGCAAGACTGATTTCAAGCGTGCCGTCTCAGATTCCCAATTCTTTTGGGAAGAACATCTCTTGCCCATGATGTGACTTGGGGTCGGTTCTGGTGGAACCCCCAAAATTTGTCCCTCGTGAGGTTAACCATGGGGTCTTTGCACACAGGGACATCTGGAGCGAAGTCCAGAGTCAGGCGTTTATCCTTCTCCTGGCGTAGGTCTCTGCGTATCAGTTGACCAGAATGGGGCACGGACATGTGAAATGTTCAATCCCCAATGTCAACCACAAGATTTTATTTTAAAATAGCTGTAACCCACCCATCTTCCTGCCTTTACATGCTTCCGATCACTGTCAGATCTACACCTTGATTAGAGAAATCTGAATTAATTTAACTGCACCCTTTGGCGTCACCTCCAACAGAGGAAGCATGCAGTTTTTCCTTTTTAAAAAAGGAACATGATCATGGGCATTTCTCCCGAGAAGAGACATTTTCATTCCCTCTTCGGCCATGCCAGTTTTATCTCACCCTGCTTGTTATAAATTTTGGTATGGAAATCCGCTCGTGATTAAAAACGATAAAACCTTGCTACTTGCTCGGCCCATTTTTCCAGCTGAATTGTCTATCTTGGAGATCGGTTGAGTTGTCCAACCCTATCTGCTTTTCACACTTGGCCGGGCAAGTTTGTACACTGTGTGCAAAAAAACCCCTTCAGCTTCCACGCCCATGGAACCATCCACAACTTTGTAGAAGGACCACGTCTTGCAAACAGTACCGAATTAATGAAAGATACGCTTTGAGACAATCCAGTATCAAACTCACATCAGATGCAGTTGAATGCCAGCACTTTTTTTCACAATCTGCGCTAAAGTTTCCTCTTAGTCACGTGTCGAGGCTGGTGGAGTCCCGTCTGAGCTACAGCACACCGTACCTTGTATGACTTTGTGGTCATCTGCTCTCTTAGAAGAACCACACAACTAAGCTGTGGTGTGCAAAGAGAAGGTCCCACAGACCTAGCCTGTTGTGTTGGGAAGAGATGTTTGGTACCTCTATACATCTACCTATACATCTATACAAGTATAGGAGAGAGTTTTCCAATGTTAGTCTCCCATGAGCAAATAATTCCAAGCATCAGTTTTGGTGGACCAAAATAGATCCCATATCATCCCATAGCAATGGAAGGATTCTACATTGGGAAGAAGATATGGATGCCCACACATCCGTGTTGGCTCCCCTACGTGTGAATACCCCAAACAGATCATCCCAAGATGAAACAAGGGAGGTCCTCCAGTGTTTGCAGAACCTCAATTCTCATCAGTCCTATCCTGCCTGGGCCAAAGTGAAAGATGATGAGACTTCAACATCTGGAGGTCCTCATGTCATCAACCCCTTCAAGTGCTATGGTTGGCAGCTTGCAGAGATGCCCTGAAGGCAAGGTCCAAGCGACCCCATCTCACCAAGGAAGCAAGCCTACAATGAAACACTAAAACGAATATTCACCAAGAAAACAAGCAATGATTCAGAGGATCGATTCCATCCGAAACATAGAAGAGAACTGAGAGGGATTTACT